ATAAACCCTATAAACCCTAAAAAAACCTTAAAGCACATAGTTAGCACAGTCCTGCTTGAAAAAGCCCCGCAGCCAGCTCCCAGCTCGGTAGAGGACATCAATTGCAGCCTTCGCGCAGGTGATTTGGTGATTTTCGGCCCGGGCTTAAGGATCTAAAGCAGATGGATTTAGCACACGCATCACACTGCAGGCAGATGTATAGCATGAGGCTGGGGGTTGCGAACGTAAAAAAAAAACTGTGTTTAGGGATTCGGTTTTTTAAGGCGAAGCATCTGAAAACTTAAGGTGTAGAGCTATTCGAGGATTAAGGCTTAGGAATTCAAGGTAGGGAATGAGTGGCAATCTTGGTCCTGTTCTTAGATGATTGGTGGTCCACCATAACACGAAGCCTCCGCGCAGACAAGTACCCTGCAACAGTCATATGGTATCCAGAACCTCCTCCTAGCATTAAACACCTATCTTCCCGTAACATTGAATTTTCCCTGCTTATTGCAGTCTATATATTTATATACACACACATACATATATAGATATATACATTTATCAATATAGATGGGGCATATGCTAACTTTCTCAGGGAGAAGCAACTACTTACTTTAGGGGATAACATGTTCGATTAATAGTAACATATGTTACAATGTTGCCCTAGAATAAGATAATTCAAGGACTAACCAGCCATGAGAAACCCTCAAGCTCAGTATGGGATGGGTATGCGCTGATGGTCGCTTCTAGAGATTAAGGATTAGTGTTTAGAACTGTTGGATGCAAGTTGAGTGGCCCAAGTCAAGAATTCTACGCAAAATGGAGCGAGCTAAGCTACGAGTAATCACCTCCCCTACTTCTTGTATATTGCAACTATTCAATATTAAGGGGGTCGGGGTTTGCATCTTAGGGGAGAGCATAACTTATTTCAATGCGACGAAAAATTACTTACCTACTTGTTCATGCATTCTTGGACCTTCTCGTCTTTGACAGACTCCGGCAAGGGCAGCTGCACCGGCTCGGAGACGGTGATGGACTCAATGGCCTGCGGACGATTTGTTTTCCGGCTTAGCTCTTGGGGCTTGCATGAATTGGATGTTGCTTCTCGTATCGGGCAATTATTTAGGCATCTTTAATCTGAGGCTCACAGCGCTGGAGATTTAGGCTACTAGGGCCAAGGCAACTGTAAGGGTAGCTGGCTAGAAAAACTGGGATACTTGCCACTATCCTTCACTCCTATGCCCCATGTTCGGGGTTCTGTTGCTGGGTGTAGGGATATCAGGATTAGAGATTAGAGACTAAAGATGTTTGTGGCATTGTCCGCATACAAGCTTCTGAAATCCTTCCATCGAATGCGAATCGTGTCTGATAGGACCCACCACCCCAGCAACTTGATGAGGTGATAGGGGTAGTGAAGCTGCTGTAGCCAGACGTGCTGCTCCTCTGATACGGCCATTGAATCCATCCCCAGTGAAGGCCTTATACTGTACAACCAAATGCTCAAAATATTTTGGGAAGTGCCGCTGGTTGCGAATGCCCGAAGTTGGGCTTAATAAGCCCTGTCTGACCCCATTCATTCTCACTGTCACTGCGCGCCGATCCTGCCCCTGTTCCTAGAAGGGATTTGTTGTGTTAAGAAAGAGGGTTTTGAGGTTTGTCTTCAGGGAGATACAATCAGAAGCTCCCATCTGTAGTAAGGTACGCTGTCGGGCTTGCGGTGTTCAGCGGCAAGTCAAACAAGGGCAAGAGCAGAAGTCAGTAGTGACAATGGCAAGAAACCCTTACCCGACAGAGTCTAGACCCATAGGCTGCTCATCGCTGTAAGAGGGATTAAGCACTATTTCAGCCCAACAAGACCCCCCTTGCAACTACGTCACAGATGGCCTCCAACTCCTGCAGGCGCTTGCCGCGGGATTCTTCGGCATAGCAGTCACGACGCTGGACAAACCACTTGGCAATGCGCTCGTTCTCTGCAATGGCCTTTAACGTTGAGGCTTTTGGGACTTTAGACGAATTTAGGCTTTTTCACGGTTTTAGGATCTTACGTCCCAAATTCTAAAATGAAAGCTGGGGGTTGAGGACAACAAGCTCATATCCTGCACTGGCCTTTTGGCTTTCTCGAACTGGGATTGCCTAGGGCTTATGGACTTCCCTGGATTCATGGGGCCTTTGGGAGCAGCAGCTTGGGGACAATATGAGGATACGGGCTTCAGGACACACCGCTAACATTTGCTGGGTGATTACGCTGCCCCAAACTAACATGGAATCTGAAATTGGACCCTTTGTAGACTACGCCGCCTTTGACGGGGCATACAGCGGCCTATATGGGATTCCATGCTGGTCTGGGGGACGTATACAAGCTCTAAACCCAATACCTGCTATACATCCTGAGATAATCCCTAATATAGCCCCCATACGGCCTACACCCTGGACCCTGCTGCAGCTGCATTGTCTTGCAGGTTTTAATGTAATGCGCACCTGCTAAGCCAAGACAATACCACCGGTGCATACAAAAATCCTGCATGGCCGTAAGTATCCTATGCCTTGGGAATCATTGCGTGTTTGTAGGCTAAAGTCATGTGGGATGGCTTGCAGCAACACCATCCCGATGAATCTCTATATGCCCGGATATGACCCGATGTATCCCTCTATACCCCTACATGTCCTTACATATCCCTACTATGCTTGGGCAAACGTATATGTCCCCATGATCCCTATATGTCCCTGTCTTTCTAATATGGCCCCCTATGCGCCCGCCGGCTGCGAAGGCCTTCTCCTGCATTTTCTGAAAGATCTCCGCTGCCTCGCCCTTACCAGAGTGCACGGCGTTGTACATGCTGTAGGGGTGTGGGGTCCTAAACACTTTGAGCAGGGTGTATAGGGAAATATAGGGTGCCTGTAAAAGGGTCAAAGGGGTTGCAGGGGTTGTATGGGGCTGTAGGGCGCACAGTTATAGCAGGGCTCTTCTTAGTTGCAGACATGAATGGAGAATCAAATGGAAAAGAAATTGACAATGAAACTGGAACTGGGTTTCGTGTAGGGCGTTACACGTAGCTTTACGTTCTTCAAGACTCCTTGAAACAGCCATTAACAGCATCACGATGCAAGCCTTCTGAAACCGCCCAAAACATGTAATCGTTCTATATGCAGTATACAAGCCTTATGCATTACCCATGCCCTTGACGCATGTTCTCTATACATTGGGTCCCGCCCCCATCCATTTACAGTCTATAATAGGGGTCATATTACGAGCTCTATATAGTTATAGAATGATATAATATGAAAACTATCCAGCTGTCAATGAGTGCGGGGCGGTATCCAATCCAAACCCGAAACCCTAAACCCCCAAAGTAAGTTCTCTATACAATGCTTCCCGGCGACTCCCCAACTTGTCACCCAAGCCGAGACTCTAGGCCAGTTGAAGGCACTTGGAGGGTCATGGGGACTCCGTCAGTCGTGGCAAAGAAAACGGAAGCTACTACGTATATCATTTAGGTTTCAGGGTTTAGTAAGTAGGTTAACAAAGGGGATAAAAGGGGGTATTATATGGCTTTTCTGAGCTGTTAACCCACTGTCTAGGTGCCCCTGACCCTCCAAGCATTCCAGATCACAGCGCCTGAAATGGCCAGCTCTCGTGCATGGTAGCATTTTAAAGAAGATGGGCGTGAAAGCCTTGTGAACTGCCTCTTTGTAAGGTGATTCCAGGCTCAGTCTTTGAGTGTAAGGCCAATCCTCCCTAAACCCCCTTACCTCAACTCGTTTGAGGCCTTTGGGCTCATCTCTATGGTCAGCCACAAAGATTGTGCGACCTGCTAGGCTCCCATAGCAGCCAACCAAACATTGGCATTAGCTCATGTCAGAATGCCAGCGCCTGAGCCGAACTACGAGGCATGATCCCTACGTAGAGTCCTACATATCATATGAGCTATAGTCTAATAAACTCCTAGTTTCGCTCTTAATCACCCCTGTAATACTCCCCTGTATAATCCCCTATTTAATCCCCTTTGCTTCAGGAGTTTAGACTATAGCTCATGTCTGTCTCTATCTATGGCTAAACCCTGCCTGAAATACTAACTGCAGAGACATTTTACGGCATGCGCCTCATCCCCTTGGGACATGATCCGGAAGAGCTTGCTGTGCATCTGGGACATGGCCTGTCGGAGTTCAAGAGTGGGCTAGAGGGTGTACTTGGAGGGTTAGGGGACTCAGGAAGTAGGTTGCCAGTCCCTATATATAAGTACTCAAACCATGCCCATTATATACCTTTTTTTTTGCGACCGGGCTGAACATGTTGCCGGGCGATACACTTGCACCATCAGAAGCTCAAAGGCATTCCAA